GTCCTATATATTTAATATCACAAACAAGTGTTATTTTTCTCTCTCCTGCAAAGTACAATTGGGGGGCGTCGGTGGCCGTAACAGTTAAGGCGTTGACACGGCGCTCATCACTGTAAGGTAAAGGTCCCGGGTTCGAATCCAGCGGCCCTGCATTCGAACCCGACATACTTATAGAAACACCGACACCCCGAGGGTTGATATGACCTCTGCAGTTGCGAGTAAAAATAAAAATTATTTTCATTCATAATTCAAATTTAATCACAAAACCTGTTTTTCTTTTCGTTATTTCCCCAATCGGGAAACGAACATTTGGTTCATGCCCAAGAGTAATCTTGTATTTCTTTACAGTTTTATTTGAAATAAACCAAAATTATTATTATTTATTGTTTTCTCATTTGAGAGAGGTCTCCAGAGTAAAGAATTTCTCCAACCACTCTAGGCGATTTTTAAAAATTTACTTACGATTCTTTCTGAGTCTAATAGTAGCGTTTCCTGAGCGTCTTTTATTGTCTTACTGGGTAGACTTAACAACTCACTGCCTGTCACTGTTGATCGAGGCACGAGCACGTTGCTAGTGATGATTAACCCATTACCCTCATAGTATCGAGATTATAGAGCTGCTTCAGTTCCATGGCTAAGTTCATGGTATTTCCTTATTTTTTCCGCGCTTGCAGAATTGGTATTACCATAATTTGGGACAGCAATATCAACGATATCTGCAATTTTTTCACTCCAATAAGTAGCCAGATATCTGGTTTGTTATTATTTGTAATAATGGTTTATTATTATCTGAAACTTGAAAAATGGCAAAAGGAGGGAAAACTCATAAGGTGGGGTTGAGATGGGGAGTTGATGTCCGAGTGGATCGAGGTCACGATAGCTCAGGTGGTAGAGCAGCGGCGTATCAAGCCGAAGGTCGTGGGTTCGAATCCCTCTCGTGCCATTAGCTTTTTTTCATCTCAACTAAAAACCTTAATTAATTATCTGAAACGCTGAAAGAAGCTACGATTAGACATGTGACATTTACATGCGATCAATATTGCTCCACGTCCATAGTGCTCTTTTTTTCTAAGATTCACATATCAATCCCCGGGGTGCCGGTATTAAAAATCCATCTGAATGCGAACCCGGGACCCTCCAGTGCCAACGACTTAACCGGCCACGAACGACCTCCCGGTGCGCCTATTCTCGCTGATTTTGTCTTTTTGACTTGTTTAGGTTGTCCGATGAAAACGCCTGTATCACACGGAGCGATAACCGAAGCATAACTTACAATCTTATTTTTATGTAGAAAGTAATTTCTCAGGATACTGAGCGGTCTGTAAGAAACTTCGTTAGTTTATTCAACTTAACTTTCTAAAAATGAACCGGTTCTTAAATACATTTTTTAATGGACTGTATTAGTTATTATTCGAGGTTAGGTTCATTACCTACAAGGTGTGATCAATTCATAGTCATCAATTATCTTATACAATTAGTAACTTTTTAAAATATTTTCCCATTATATATTTGGAAATTTCTTTTATTTTACATTAATTATGGTTACTGATAGTATCTCACTGAAGCGAACCTTAATTAATTCAGCAAAACGCCAATTGTATGAACTATATGTATATATATTATCTTACAAAAAAATCACCATGGTTATAATCACATCGGCGTTTTTCAAGGATCAAGTCAAGGAATTTTCGTGTTCATTGCCAAGGATATAGAAAGACCCTAATTAATAATTTATTTTTTATACACAATATATGATTAGAGTTTTCGATGTTTTGTTAATTCGAAAAGTACCCATATATTTATACGTTATCAGAAATCAAACCACATCGTTTTATAAAGCAAATACTTTTTATGCATATAATAATTTTAATTTTGATGTGTGTTGAAAATTTTAGCATTAATCATCAATGATGAACATATAAAACAGGTTGACTTGATTTTACGAAGTACTCTAACAATTTAGCCTATGGGATCAATCGGTGTCCCTTATACCAGGACTTAACGATGGTCATCAGAACGAACTCTCTTTCTCTAAAATGTTGTGTTTTTAAACAGATTACCTTTTAATTCTTCGTAAAAAATGGCGTATGAAAATATGATGGTTTTATGGCACCGAGTGTCGTTATCACTACAACTACGAGAAACATCACGCTTTCCTTAGGTACTTGTCTCGTTTGGAAGTAAATACTAAAACATGTAAACTGAACTCTTTGTATAAAATCATGTCTGCCGGGACCCTTCCGATTTAGGAAGTATACTGGCAGACAGGTCGGTCATTTTATAAAGACGGTCATTTTGGCCGAGATAGAACAAAATAACCGGTTCGCTTTAACATCCAAGTGGGGCAAACCTTGATCAACCGGCGCTGGACATTTTCAAAACGTATACACATAAAGTGAATGTATTAAAACAAAATTTATTAATTAATTATTATTACACGAATTTCAATTCATCATCATTATCATTCACCAAACATGAAGTTCGTTATAGTTGCAAAAAACTAAAATTAAAAAGTTATCAGTGAATAAATAACATATTTTAATGGCTGACAGCTCAAAAGGTATTTAAAACATCGAATAACTAAATCTTTAGAAAATGGATTTTTCCTAAAATGATATTTTTAGTTACTAATAATTACAATTAATTAAGGTTTTTAGTTGAGATGAAAAAAGTTAATGGCACGAGCGGGATTCGAACCCACGATCTTCGGCTAGATACGCCGCTGCTCTACCACCTGAGCTATCGTGACCTCGATCCACTCGGACATCAACTTCCTATCTCAACCCCACCTTATGACTTTTTTTCATCTCAACTAAAAACCTTAATTAATTGTAATGTATTAATTGGTCAAGCGGACCACGAAACTAGTGAATTAAATGAGTTACTAATAATATTCGATTCGATCGAACAGCCTTTTTTACTATGCCTCATACCTGGTGCTTTTGCCCAGTGTTTGAGTTTTTCTTTCTCAAGTCTTTTTTTCCATTTACAAATTTACCACACACTCCGTTGTAGCCTATTGTTTCTGGTATCATGGATGGGAGGCTCTTTTTTGGCTAGTTGGTCAGCCTCTTCATTTTCTTCTATGCCTTAATTTCAACGAACAAATCGACCATAGTAACATTGAATTTCCGAACTATCAAAAAACTATTAAAAATCTCAGCCAGTCCTTAATCCCAGCAAAGAACTACGAAATACGGTTTAGAACACTTTTACCATTCTTATGAGCATAAAAGGTTTACAACCAAAACTCGATATGACGTAAAGTCGAATGAAAGGGGTTTCGCCAAGGGGGCATATTTCGAGCTAGGTAAACATAATATTAGTAACGCGAAGTGAGCTGAAAGAACACACCTTTTATTTACTTTCATTTTGTTTTTGGCGATATTTATATACTTTTTTTACGAGGGTTCGCAACAGCAGAGGTCGCATAAACCCTCAGGGTGCCGGTGTTTTTGAAAAAAAGCCCATTTGTAAGTATGTCGGGTTCGAATGCAGGGACGCTGGATTAAACCTGAGACCTTTACCTTACAGTGATGAGCGCCGTATTTTATGTTATTATTTAACAACTTATGTATTTTTATCGTTATGTTAATTACAACATACTTATTTTAATGTAAACCGAATTAAACGAGATCAAAAATTTACGGGTTTTAATAAATACTTATGATGGTTTGACAGAAAATTTACCAAAATTTATGAAAATCTGTGTGGTGATTCCGCAGAAAACAAACACTTTGAGTGAGTAGAAATACTTTGATTGAAAATAAAAAATATATTTTTTTATATTGTATAAATTCCCTTTTTTCCACATCCTACATGTATTTGTTAAATTTAAACAATGTTTGTAAATCCCAGGCCCTGAAGATGATCTCAATAAAGATCGAAACGTTGGCACGTTATAAAGAAAATGTTTTTCCGAACGTACATCACACCAGACCGCATCTCACGATTTCCGAATAATCTTATGAAAATAGTTTAGATTAAAATTTGATTAAAATTAAACCTGGTTTTGCTCTTTATAACGCATAAAGTTTGAAATAAACAACAAAATAAGTTTACGGATTTTTTAGTATATTTTAGCTACTAAACAACAAAATTAACCTATTTTTTATATGAGGGTTTAAAAAAAAGGAAAATAACTAGATAATACAACATACTTAATGATTGTAGTGATTTTAATTAACGAATAAGAAAATTAACATAGAAATAAAAATGGATGTTTATCGATGATAGTAAGGATCATTTCTGCGTTTCCTATGATTATTAAATTTCGAATTTGAAAAATTGATTGTTTACTAGTGTGATGTATCAATCAGTATAATACCACGTCAACAACTTGGTTTGTAAAGTAATATCTATAATCTGACGAAATTTTCAGAGCCCTTTAAACTATGCTATCGGATCATTTAAGAAATCTTCATCAATCATGTTGTTATTTTTGTTATATTCACGATAACAGTTTGCTATAGTTTGCACAATTGGCCATTCCTCAGTTGATTTGATAGTGGTTTTAAAAATCGGCAATTAGTGCAAATGTTTTGTACATTTTTCACTCAAATAAAAAATTATATATCAAAAACCACGTACAATGTCAGGCAATATTGCAGTTGTTTTGGTACAATATCAAACAATATTTGGGATAAGCAAAATACCTTTAATTATGTCGGTATCGATTTACTTAAAACTTTAATTTTTGAACCGTTTTCAACTTGATTTTTTATTATGTTAATAACGTCACCGTGCATTTTCATAAATCAATTTATGTTTATCTTTAACTTATCAAATTAATGTCGGTACATAATTCCGGATGTTTTGATTTAAAATTGTACATAATATTTTCTTCAATTTTTTAAGCCTGGAAAATCAATTTTATAATGTTTTTCGCTATGTAAATATTTGTATTTATTCGGTCGTACATTGATAAACTTGTATTTTTTTTTATTTAAGCTAGTTTTTAAAGCGAAAATTTGATTTGTAAAAGTTTGATGGTGACTTACCATAGAGCATATAAAATCAAACAATTTAGTCTGAGATTAACAGACAACCTTACGAAGCGAACAAACTGTTAACGTACTCACTGTTCATTCGTCAATAAGGAAATGTACACAAATTGCAAAATAAAACGATACCTGCTGGTGTTTATCCACAAGGCAGCAAACGCGAACTGTGTGCCCTGACTTTCGGCGAGTAAGCCTCTATACATTCTCCAGCCCCACTTTAATGTATCCCCGACGAAGGTGGGGCTCCAAAAACTCTGCCGATTTTACTTTTAAAAAAGGCCACTTTTAATTTTTAATACAACGGTTAATTGCTACTGTTCAATTTCATAAATACACCTAACCGGATTTTGTTGGAGTTCGACAAGTGAAGCTTGACGTAAGACTTCAGTCCTGTTGTTTTCGTAGTCCTTCCCATCGTAAAGATATTATATAAACTTGGCCGAATTGCTTGTCACTTTTCAACATAATCGTCCGACAATTTTCATGTCAAAAAGTAAAGACCATGCAGACGTTTCAATTCGATCATTTTTGAACAAGTTTTATGGTGATTTGTGAACTAAAGTAACACACGTCTTTATTTATTTTTTTAACCCCTGTCTAACCACCCTGGTATTAGATACCCTGTATAATTTTTCTCCAAATAAGGTAGAAATTTAAAACAGGACTAAAAAATTTAAACACGTATTTTTTCATATCATCATTGGTTCAAGAGAAATTCATCCGTGCCGTCTAAAAAGGACACCCTGTATACACACATGTACAGACTTGACCCTATCACGTCTTAAAGCCTCCGGCAATTCCAGGTTTTGTAATTTACAATAAATTACCGGGAGGCCTCAATAATCACCCATCGCGGGTTGTTGGCACATTGGGGTAGATCTCGGTCTTATCCTTCCAGCCAACGACAACGGGTGCTGTCGACCTCATATCTGGTGGCAATGCTATATAGAGCCAAGGAGCTGCACCCTTCAATTAGTCGGGACACATCAAGCAACCTTTCACTACATGCCGGACACATACGCGCGATTAGGCCCAAAAGTAAGTTCAGCTTAGCACAGACCTGTATCGGGTCAGGATGATCTTACGAATGTTTTTCTTACAATGGTCAATATCGGATTTGTATTTTTCGTCTGCTTATTGGTTGTAAAATAATCCTGGAATCTGTGCGGATGTAGGGCATCCTCGAATTAACCGTAATCGATTTATGTTGAATGAACCTGCTTGCCGAAAACCTTTGTAAAACCCAATGATGAGATCAAGAGTGGCACATTTTCGTGACCCTTGGAGTTCGCTCGTTCCGTACTAAAACATAAAGTGCTTTATGTTTTAGGCGTTTCTTTCCATTATACTTCTCTCATGGAAGGTAAGTATTCAAATTGTTGTGTTTGTAAACAATAATTTATTGGGGCGTCAGTGGCTGCAACGGTTAAGGCGTTGACACTGTAAGTCAAAGGTCCGGGATCGAAACCAGCGACCTTGCATTCAAACCCGACATACGAATGGGCTTTTTTACAAAAACCCTAGCACCTCAGGGTTGATACTACCTTTGCTGCTGCGAATCCTTGAAAAAAAAATTTGTAAATAATTAACAAGCAATTTTAACAAAATTAAATAGATGGATATTATTTTAATAAAAGAATGCAGATTGTTCTAATATTCTTATTACATTCGTACTGGAAACGAATAAGTTCATGATATTTATTCATAAGCACAGTCACACGTTCATTAATAAACTTATGAAATAAGTTCTTCCAAGGCGAAAAGTACAATTAGAAATATTATTTATCGGAGGGAAAAACGATAGGACTTTGTTTCCAGTTATTAGTTGATTTTATGGGGTTCATGTAATCGAGAACAAAAATATTTTTTCCGCATGTTTCAACAAGAACAGACAATTATGTCTGACGATTTACGAGATCGAAGTTCTTTGTTTTACATCGCCCAAGTTCATATCTCAACCAAAACCATCCTTATATTTATAATTTATCTTTTAAAATTATACCAAATTAGAATATTCTGCGTCCTATAACATTTTTGTTATTACATTTAATTAAGGTTTTTAGTTGAGATGAAAAAAAGTTAATGGCACGGGCGGGATTCGAACCCACGATCTTCGGCTAGATACGCCGCTGCTCTACCACTTGAGCTATCGTGACCTCGATCCACTCGGACATATGGTGTTGAGATAGGAAGTTGATGTCCGAGTGGATCGAGATCGAGGTCACGATAGCTCAAGTGGTAGAGCAGCGGCGTATCAAGCCGAAGATCATGGGTTCGAATCCCGCTCGTGCCATTGACTTTTTTAACTCGACTAAAAACCTTAATTAATTGTAATGTATTAATTGGTCAAGCTGACCACGAAATTAGTGAATTTTTGTTATTATGTGAACCAATAATGAAATTAATACACGAAAAATAATATTTTTTAAACCTCTAAATAATTTCAATTAATTACTCTTTTTATTTAAGGTTTTGGTTGAGATGAGAAAGCTAATGACACAAGCGGGATTCGAACCCATGTCCTTCGGCTCAATACGCCGCTGCACTAATTACCGTGCTAGTAGCTGTAGCTCAAGTGGTTAGAGCAGCGGCGTATTGTGCCGAAGGTCGTGGGTTCGAATCCGGCTCGTGCTACTAGCTTTTTCATTTCAACCAAGACCTTACGTAAAAATAATAATTAATTGAAATAAGTAATTTGTTCAATTAGACCACTAAACATAAATAGATTAACCTCATAAATAATGATTTATGGCCATTTAATTGTGACTAAAATTAGATTTTGAAAAAAAGCTTCATTAAATCGGTTAAGTCGATTTGTTAAGAATTCTCTTAAATCTATATATAATTAACATAATCCACATTCCACAATCGGAAAATTTTTTGGGGTAAAAAATTGATAAATTTAAATTCAAACCAAAATTTTTACTTACGGGTCTCTAGAGGTAATAAAACGAAATTTCAAATTAGTTTCACGGAAAAAAAATTATGACTTGTTATTGATAAATATTGTTAGCTTTTACTACATTTACTATTTATTACAATCTACATTTAAAAAATGCTGTAAAATGATATATTCACTTAGTTGAGCAAGTAGAATGGTGAAATAAAAATATTAAAAAAAGAAAAAATTGAAATTTTTTTTGCGAACCAGGGCCTATTTACAAGAAATGGCGTATAAGTATCTGATATTTTGGGTTGTAGAATCAACAACAAAAATTTGGTCCAAATCCGTGACCCACCAACGTCGAAGTCCCCTTGACAGTCAATTCGGAATTTGGTAAGTTGCCAGAACCGATTTAGATAAACACCATAAACGGCACTGGTCTCCACACAGAAAAATCAATGTCGCCCATACCATGCGAAATGGATATTGACTCTTTTCCGTTATGAATCGCCTGACACTAAGCGAATTGTGGTGTTTCCACACGTTTTTCCAAAGTAGTAAATAAAGAATGGTATGTTATTATAGATAACAACTTAAAACTCTGACTTGGAACATGCATTTTAATCGAATTTTTGATAATGTGAGTTAATAGACATTAAAAATGAAGTAAGAAAAAGTAAAAAGCAAATGCAACTTTTAATATTAGTCAATCTGAGGTGACATAAGTAACAGTAATAACGGGGTAATTTTCCAAGATTGGTTCATGTAGGAAGACCATCATCTGTTACAGATGTCAAGAGCCTATTCTCTTTTACCTCACTGTACACCCATTAGTGATGGCATTTTGTATCACCACTACATTCATAAGAGGGACAATGGTACATTGATAAAAACTCGACAGAATTGTCGGTAAGCTCTAAATAGAGCAGTAAATTTTGTCCCCGGCGTTGACTATCGATGGCAGAATGACGATCTTTTCGATGGATATTGGGTTTGATTGAATATTTAGGCTTCGTGAAAATTTAAATTTAAACAAGGAATAAGAACGTACGTTTTTAAGAACAGGTATTTCAGATCTTTTTTGATCAAATAATTTTTGAAGAATTAATTATTAAATATTAAACTATTGAAAATGACACATTCAATCTCAAATGATCTCTGGATTCTTATTAAAACTAGCTTATCGGCAAATCATTTTAAAATGTAACTTCAAACATTGAATTGCCAACTTCTAATCAGTTAATCGGAGCCAGACATCCTGGAATGTGAAGTCAAATAGGCCTTAGGAAGTCTAAGCAACAACAAAGCTAGTGGAGGTGACAGTATTCCAGCTGAACTATTCAAAATCTTAAAAGACGATGCAGTAAAAGTGCTACACTCAATATGCCAGCAAATTTGGAAAACGCAGCAGTGGCCACAGGATTTGAAAAGGTCAGTTTACATTCCAATTCCAAAGAAGGGCAATGCCAAAGAATGTTCAAACTACCGCACCATTGCACTTATCTCACATGCTAGCAAAGTTATGCTGAAAATCCTACAAGCTAGGCTCCAACAGTATGTAGACCGAGAACTGCCAGAAGTGCAGGCAGGATTTCGAAGAGGCAGAGGAACCAGAGATCAAATTGCCAACATACGCTGGATCATGGAAAAAGCTAGGGAGTTCCCATCTACTTCTGCTTCATTGACTATGCTAAAGCCTTTGACTGTGTGGACCATAACAAACTGTGGCAAGTTCTTAAAGAGATGGGAATACCAGACCATCTTATTTGTCTCCTGAGAAACCTATATGTCGCTCAGGAAGCGACAGTGAGAACTGGACATGGAATCACTGACTGGTTCAAAATCGAGAAGGGAGTTCGACAAGGCTGCATACTGTCTCCTTGCCTATTTAACTTATACGCAGAGCACATCATGAGAAAGGCAGGACTGGATGAGTCAGAAACTGGAATTAAGATTGCAGGGAGAAATATCAACAACCTTAGATATCCAGATGATACCACTCTAGTGGCGGAAAGTGAAGAGGAACTAAAGAGCCTCTTGATACGGGTGAAGGAGGAGAGTGCAAAAGTTGGCTTGAAGCTGAACATTAAGAAAACTAAGATCATGGCATCTGGCCCTCTCAATTCCTGGCAAATAGATGGGGAAGAAATGGAGGTAGTGACAGACTTTATTTTCTTGGGCTCCAAGATCACCGCAGATGGGGACTGCAGCCAAGAAATTAAAAGACGCTTGCTCCTGG